GAAACATCAGGTGAATGTGGATATAAGCACCACAGAGCAACTGCCAGTTCCAGTGCAAATGAATTTAGAGAATCTCACAGAAAGTCAACGTTGCACACTGCAAGAACTACTGGTCAAGCACAGTGATGTGTTTTCAAAGAACGATTGTGACTTTGGTTATACAACTGCCGTTACACACAATGTACCGACAGGAGATGCTCCTCCTATTAAGCAAAGACATCGCAGAATACCACCTCAAGTGTTTCAGGAAGTGAAAAAACATGTTCAGGATTTGGTTTCTCAAGGTATTCTCAGAGAAAGCTGTAGTCCGTGGGCATCGCCAGCTGTGATTGTAATTAAGAAAGATGGTAGCGTACGCTTTTGCTGCGACTACAGAAGATTAAATAAAGTGACTTGCAAAGATGCTTATCCACTCCCTCGTGTGGAGGAATCACTGGATGCTTTAGGTAATGCACAGCTGTTCTCCACCCTTGATCTTACCTCTGGGTATTTCCAAGTTGCGATGAATGAGGAGGATAGAGCAAAGACGGCGGTAACAACTCCTTTCGGATTGTTTGAATGGACCAGGATGCCATTCGGACTCTGTAATGCTCCTGCGACATTCCAGCGTCTGATGGGGGTGGTGCTCGGAGATCTAACTTTTGACATACTGCTCATCTACCTGGATGACATTATTGTTTTTTCAAGAGACTTTGAAAGTCATTGTCAGAGACTAGAAATAGTGTTCAACCGATTGAGAGAGCATGGTTTGAAACTAAAACCCAGCAAGTGCTTCCTTTTGAAACCCGAAGTGAAATTCTTGGGTCATCTAATATCCTCCCAAGGAATAAAGGTGGATGGAGAGAAAACTCAAGTTTTGGAGACATGGCCTGCACCCACAAATGTCAAAGAGTTAAGACAGGTCCTTGGATTTATGAGTTATTACAGGAGATTTGTTCCTTGTTTTGCTCAATTAGCCCGGCCTCTTCATGCTCTGGTGGGTAAAGGAGGAAAAGGGAAGGTTATTGAACCTTTTAACTGGACAACTGAATGTCAGATAGCATTCGACAAACTCAAGCATTGTTTAATGTCTCCTCCAGTCCTTGCATATCCAGATTTCAGTCAGTCTTTTGTACTCACAACTGATGGGAGCCTGCATGGTCTTGGAGCAGTGTTGAGTCAGAGACAAGGAGATGCTGAGCGTGTGATTGCGTATGCAAGTCGAAGTCTTCGTGGATCAGAGAAAAACGACAGAAATTACAGTGCTTTCAAGCTAGAGTTGCTAGCTCTAAAATGGGCTGTAACCGAGAAGTTTAAAGAATACTTGATCTACTCCAAGTTCTCTGTGATTACAGATCACAACCCTTTGCGCTACCTAGAAACAGCAAATCTAGGAGCAGTTGAACAACGGTGGGTAGCTCAGTTGTCGGAGTTTGATTTTGAAGTCTTCTACAAACCAGGACGACAAAATACAAATGCGGATGTTCTTTCGAGGATTCCATCTGGAGAGGAGCCAGAGCAGGAGGATTCTGATAAAGATTTCATTAAGATGAATTCAGATGAAGTGCGCACATGCTTATGGCCAGCCACTAAAAATCAGCAGAGGGTTCAAGCTTCAGTCCAAGTGTCTGTGGCAAGGAAAGTCCCTGGATACAGTTGGAGTGATCTAGAAGAGCAACAAAAGACAGACCCTAAAATAGCCCCTATCTACCGTGCTGTTCTTAAAAACAAGAATCTGAGCCCAGTTGAGCAGCGTAACATGAATGCTGAGTTAAAAAAGCTTGCTAAACAATTCATAAGACTCGAGCTTAAAAAAGGAGTGATGTTCCGTACCATCCTTGATCCTCGAGATGGCGAAGAAATTTGTCAACTAGTGGTTCCAGAACCTCTGCGTTACAAAGTATATGAGAGTCAGCATGATCATTGTGGCCATTTCGGAGAAAGAAGTACGCTAGAGCGCATGAGAAGAAATTATTACTGGCCAACAATGAGTAAGGATGTTCAGAGCTGGATCAAAGAGTGCAAAAGATGTGCACTTGCAAAGGATGTTTTCCCTAAGATTCGAGCTCCAATGACGTGCACTAATGTGTCTGCACCACTGGAAGTCCTTGCAATGGATTATACGGTCTTGGAGGAATCTGTGGGTGGATACGAAAATGTTCTTGTCTTAACTGACATGTTCTCTCGTTTCACAGTGGCCGTGCCCACCAGAAATCAAACTGCTCACACTACTGCGAAAGCACTGGTGCAGCATTGGTTTGTACATTATGGCTGTCCTGCACGATTACATTCGGACCAAGGTCGTTGCTTTGAAGCCAATGTCATCAAAGAACTGTGTAGAGTCTATGGAATTGGAAAGAGTCGCACAACCCCGTATCACCCCCAGGGTAACTCCCAGTGCGAACGATTTAATAGAACTATGCACGACATGCTAAGAACGTTACCCCCAGAAAAGAAAAAGAACTGGAAGGAGTATCTACCTGAGTTAGTTATGGCCTACAACAGTCGAACCCACACTTCAACTGGGTATTCGCCATTCTACTTACTGTTCGGTAGAGATGCTCGCATGCCAATGGATATCCTTAATGGAAGGGACATTGAGGAAAGTGGAGTTGACAATCTTGATGATTGGGTGAAAAAACACCATGACAGATTGAAAACAGCTGTTGAAGTAGCCAACTCTGCAGCACAAGAGGCTTCAAGACAGAGAAAGAGAGCCTATGATCGCAAATCACGTGGTGCACTCATGAAAGCTGGAGATCGTGTTCTGTTAAGGAATCATTCACACAGGGGAAGGAATAAGATCCAAGATCATTGGGAACCCTTACCTTATATTGTAGTGAAACAAAATCACACAGACACACCAGTCTATACTATTCGCCCAGAGAAAGGGGGTCCATGTAAAGTTGTACACAGAGATCAACTTAGACACTGCACTTTTCAGTCATCTTTACCGCCTCGTACATCTAGACATAATTCTAGAGCACACACAAGTCAGGAACATACTGATTCAGAGGATCCTGATGTTCTTGTAGTCCCTGTTACATTTACACCAACTACACTTCCAGACACACAAGGTAGAAGGGAAAGTGGGGATGAGACGGACACAGGTATTAGAGAACATGATAGAATTTCAGATGAAGATTCAGTAGATCAGTCTGTAAATTCAGGTGGTTCTGAAGCTGAAAGTGAAAATGAAAGCATTCCTGAACCTAGACGTTCACAACGTTTGAACAAAGGTACTCTACCTGTTAGATACAGAACTGATTTTGTCTTGAAATAAGTTTAGACAACAATTGAAACTTTAAGGTTTTGAAAGTATCTTTTAATGTGTATTTCACTGATTGAAAACATGTTATTGTTGTACTGATGTTCATACACAAAGTGTTTACCTGCTATTCTCTGTTTTTGTTTTCCAGAACTGGATCGCTGAAAGGAGGTCCAGTGGTATGGCAGGGTTTAGTAGGGGGGAATGTAGGGGATCTACAAATCCGAATATGAGAGAACTTTTATTTTGAAATTTGACATGGGCGCCGCCATTACTTTCTCCGGTATGTGTGTGGGTGACGATCGCATTCAGGCAGAGAGAGGGAGGAGAGAAAGGCGAGTTGTGACAGCAGTGGTGAGCTTATGAAGGTTGTGCAGTTTTAAAACTTTTTGATCAACTTAAGAAGTTAACTGATGACATGAAACAAAGCTAGATTACATTGCTTCAAAGTCTCGTTGCTTTTAAGTCTCCGTGTAGTTTAATGAGCCAGTTATTAGCAGTGACGCAGCAAGTTTTTTGCCGCGCTCGTCAGTGACGCGGGATAATAGGCCTGCTGTTAAAGTCAGTCGGATTATTCAGTGCTGAAGTTGAATACTCCCGTGTTTTTTTGTTATTTACATCCAGATTTTTGTTAGTTCAAACGAACTCAAAACGTAGTGGATGCTGTGTTATTTTTGCGAGGATTTTTGCGTTGGAAAGCATCGTGTGTTCATTGTTTGCTCTGATTGATCGCCGTTGGACGGGATTGTGGCCTTGTTGGATCGTGCTGTGCGTTCAGGATCACGAGGGCAATCGTTGGGGATCAAAGAGTTGAAGGAACATTACCCTGCCTTTCCAGACTCCTTTCAGCGCTCCGTTCTGGACCCAAGAGTGGTGATGTACAATATTGAGTTCACATTTCCTTGAACATTGCTAAGACATCTTTTCTTTTCACCGTATTGAGACAGAACTGTGCTTTAAAGGAACTCTCATTCGAAAAACTGGAAATTGTGCGTTTTTCCACAGAGACTTATTTGTTTACCGGTCTATGGACATTTTCACTCGTGAATGGACTGAGTATATTTTTCCTGAATTTTGAAAGTTAACTCTAACTTGATTTGAATTCATTTGATTAATACTGATTGTGAATGTGAATCTTGTCATTGTTTAAGGTGTGACTGAAACACTATCACATTGATTCTATTTCATTTATTATTGTCTATATTTTATTTCATTTAATTTTGAGCTGATTGAGTTTAAAACAATTTAACTTTTTATGTGAAGAAACATAAAAAAAGAAAACTCATTCAATTAGTCTCATAAGACTAATACTTTTTGTTTAAATAAATATTTGTTTGTTTAGTTACATTGAGTTAACTGAAGTCCTTTATACTAAGGAGTGGGGCCGTCTCATCTATCCTGTTAGATCTGGGAGGGTGGGTTTTTCTGAGTTTTACACACTCACATACACACTTCAGGCTACCACCGTGATAAAGATAGATCCTGAAGCCCACCTCACTTTATCTGTAGCTCCATATAGCAACACGATAGACACTCACATATAACCACTAGTTATACTGAGACCTAAAGTATTGGGTGGGGGGACTAAGATCCTGTTGCTCACTCAGTCTTCCTTAGTGTAAAGTTTATTATCTGCCCCACAAGGCGGTGGCATATTCCCCTCCGCCACATGTGACTGAAACATTCGACACGTATCTCAATATCAAACCGCAGAAGCACACTGTAATGATTAATGAAACTCATAAGCACAACACTGCTTCTCAAAAGATTTTAATGAATATAACGGTGTACGGCACACATGCTACGAGTGCTGGAATGTGTTAAAGCTAAGTGCAAAACTCAGGATTTCAGTCCAGATGTTGTGAATTCTTCATTGTTAACAGTCTGAGAAGTACACTGAGTTCACAACGTTGACACACTGTGGATTGAGCCTGTAAAAGGAAAGTAGCAAATATTAAAGCTTTTTTTTTTAGTTAAGTACAATTAAAAATATGATTTTTTTGCAAAGACAGTCAATTTCTATTAATTGTGTTTTTTTGGATGGTTCTTGTATATTAATAGACCGTTTTAGTTTTCATTTACTTACAGTTCTTTCATTTCTTTCATTCCTTCAGCAAATGGACGGCCAGGACCATGTTCAGTACTATAATAATCAAACAAACAATGGTTTAAAAACCATACATATAATGTTATACTCATTGCACAACTGATTAACACAGAAAGAGATCAGTTTTACTCACACTTTAGTTATAAGAAGCTTGACGCACGCCAGATCATCAGTGATGTCATCATCAATCAGCTCTGAAAAGAGAAACTCACACTCATTTAAAACGTATTGATGCACGACCACAGTGCTCAGCAGAAATGAGAAACTCCAAACAGATCTATCCACTCATTTTCTTTCTGCTTGATATCTATTTCAATGGTCTCCACAGTGGAATGAACCATAAACTATGAAAGCATATGTTTTATGCAACTGATGCCCTTCCAGCGCAACCCATTACTGGGAAACACCCATACACTCTCATTTGCACACATACTCATAGACTCTGGCCAATTAGTTCATCCAATTCACCTATAGCGCATGCGTTTGGACTGTGAGGGAAACCGGAGCACCCGGAAAAAACCCACGCCAACATGGGGAGAACATGCAAACTCCACACAGAAATGTCAACTTGCCCAGCTAGGACTTGAACCAGTGACTTTAGTGTGAGGCGATCTTGCTACCCACTGCACCATATGTGATACCCACACTCATACGCTAAGGCCAATTTGCTTCAATCATTTAGTCTATAGTGCATGTATTTGGATTGTGGGGGAAACCGCAGCACCTCGAGGACACTCGCGCAGAAATGCCAACTGGTTTAGCTGGGACTCGAACCAGTGACCTTCTTGCCGTGAGGCAGCAGAGCTAACCCCTGAGCCTCTGTGCCACCCTATTTAAGTAACAATGCATTAAAAATATAAATGTGACACCTTGCTACAATCTCAAATAACTCTTTCTCTTTGAATGCATTTTAAAATGTAATTCACTCTTGATTCAGAGCTGAATATTTAGCATTGTTTTTCCTGTGATCTATCTTCACACAATTATTCCGAAATCTTTCTAATATGACGATTTGCAGCTCAAGAGATGTTCTAGTTTCAAAGCACTGCTCATTTGTAACATTATTAATGCCTTTACAGTCATTAGCCCCTTTCATACAGTGATAACATAAATATAGGGAAAATTTTCGTAACGACTTTACCGGTGAATTAAAAAAAACACTGTTCACATAGGCAAGGACGTTACGGAATTTTTCCGGAAAAGACCGTTCACACATCCATTACAAAATATTGGTAATTCTGACATTATTAACCAGAAATTACCTATAAACGCCAGAGCTTGTACTTGTAAACATTTGACAAATTCCGTGGATGGGTAAGTATTGTGAATAGGGTTGTAACGGTATGAATTTTTTACGGTATGATAATCATCTAAAACAATACCACGGTTTGACGGTTTCGCGGTATACGGTATGTTACAAATGTTACAAAATAATAGAACAGTGAAGCAAATTTGACTTTTTCCAAATAATATATTTTCAGTTACTATAAACAACACCACTTACAATGAACAAATAAAAAAATAAGAAAATAATAAATAATGTGTCAAAGTCCAAATAAAGTCCAAATAAACATGGTGCAAATCCTCAGTAAAAAAAATAGATATAAATATTTACTATACTATAAATAGTTACATAACGAAACTAGATTCAATATGGAACATCCTTAGGTTTTATGTGCCAGCATGGATATGGTTGTCTGTGGATATGGATTTGGATATGGTTGTCTGCAATGCAGACAAACAGCTGCACCTTCATTTGCGTCTTTTGAAAACCGCAAGAACAGTTCGTCTTTGCTGTGTCACTGTTTTGTCATGTTTCTGTGCTGCTGTGCATGCAAAAGTACTTACTTTTTTTTTTGCGTTTTATTTAGCCGCGCATAAATTTATGCCTATCTCTCATTCCGTGTTGTTCAAAGAGCTGATTGTTGGTCCACAAACAAAAGCGAAACCTATGCTTATTGGTTGTGATATAGCAAGTTTGAACCAATCTGGGCATGGAGGAGGGACAATGCATCAATGTATCATGTCTGGTTTGTCCGGAGACACAGTGACGAGCGTTTCTTTGTCAAATCAGCGTTGTCAAATTTTGATGACGTAACCGCACTGATTCCGGAGCCTCTAAAAGTCTGCGTTATGTTATGTTATGTGATACAGCACTGGAAAGCTGAGATTCTCTTCTTTATGCCAATCTTTGAATTGTATGAATCGGATCAGCGGATCAAAAGTTATTAAACATTTAAGAGCAATACTTATTTTTAGCCGCGGGCGGCCGTCTCGGTCTTTAAGGGTTAAAACCATTGATATGCAATTGTTCATGGTATGATAATCGTGCACGTTCAAATCGTGGCAGACCGTCATATCGGTATATTGTTACAACCCTAAGAACAACTTCGATGAAAACATATGGAGGAACACTGTCACATGTCGAGATGTACATAATACATGTGTTTGGTGGTGTTCACCGGCTGCTTCACATGCACACATGTCAGAGCTTGAAGGTAAACAAACAACGGCGTACCATAAGAATTTTATCGATAATTTTTTAAAAGGAACATAGAAATGTTATCTGGCTGACATCTAGCAGCTAAATGTGTCTGGAAATATATTCGAAGGCTTTTATTTACATAAACCACGCGGACGTGAATGTGTCTGAGTGTTCTGATTGGCTAAAGTAGATGTCTTACGTCAGCGCGTTCTAGACGTGAATGCGCTCTTTATGGCAATCTTCCTTCTACGTTAACAGCGCAGCATTCCGGCAAATTACTGGAAATGTTACTACTTCTCTTTCCGGAAAATTACCGGAAAGGTCTGTGTGTGTGAAAGGGGCTATTGTTTCATATACTCACTCTGGCAGCTCAGCCCGCAGAGGTTCGGTTTGCTACTTTGAGTAGAATTGCACGCCACATGGTCACTGAGCTGGAACAAGCCGTACATCGTCCACATCTCCGTGTTCTTGGGCTTTGTGGTAGGCGGTGGAAGGGTCACTTTACCAGCAGGACGGCCTTTTGCTGGACCTTTTGCAGCCCTTCTATGGCGAAATTCGTGACTGTCTTGTTCCTCTGATGACTCCGGGTGTGGGACGGTGTTATTGGGGTTGGTAATGAAGTTGGAGGTCACCGCAACTCTTTCTGGACCCTTTGGAGACCTTCTATGGCGAATTTCATTACTGTCTTGTTCCTCTGATGACTCCGGGTGCGGGACTGTGTTGTTGGGGTCGAAAGTAAAGTTGGACATCACAGCAACTTTTTTTGGACCCTTTGGAGACCTTCTATGGCGACTTTCATGACTGTCTTGTTCCTCTGATGACTTTGGGTGCGGGACTGTGTTATTGGGGTTGGTAGTGAAGTTAGAGGTCACGGCAACTCTTTTTGGACCCTTTGGAGACCTTCTATGGCGAATTTCCTGACTATCTTGTTCCTGGCTTTCAGGTTGCTCTGTTGACTCTGGGTGTGGAACTGAATTGTTGGGGCTGGGCCTGAAGTTGGAGGTCACGGCAACTCTTTCTGGACCCTTTGCAGCTCTTCTATGGCGATGTCCGTGACCATCCTCTATTTCTTTAGGCTCAGGGATTGTATTAACAGCGCTTGTATTGAAGTTGGTGGTCAGCGCCACATGGCACACAACTGTAAAGAGAGTTTGTGTTAAACCAAGACACTGGAGATCAACAGGGATAGTTCACACAAAAATGTAAATTCAGCATTAATTTACTCATCCTTTATTTGTTACAAATCGGTCTTTTTTAAGTCCCATTCACACTACAAGTGTTCCTCATGAACAAAAGAAAAACCTACTAACCGATGAGAGTATTAAATATAGTAATCCAAATTAAGCAGAGGCAGGTTTTCTGCTGTATTTTTAAGTTCAACAGAGAAATGAAGACAGAAAATAGAGACTCACTTTTCGCCAAAATGTCAGTCGCATTCAGAGGCGCCCCAAGGACGGCTTGAAGTTCCTGCTTCAGACTGCATTTAGTCACAGTGGCACTATTACTCACACCAGCTGCCATGAATAAAACTACCACAGCCGCCAACATCTTCACTTCTGAATGCATTCTGAAGATCTCTGTGCTTCCAACAGGGAAACTGTAATTGAAAAATGACTGTCTGTGTGTACTGTATTTATACTGTATTTATAGACCCATCTGTTCCCCTGAGAGGGTTCATCTACACCTCAGGTACACCAGCGGCGTAAAGGTTAAGTGTCAGTTTGTGGGCAGTTTCACATCAATGCTCTGAATGAAATCTTATGATATGGTTTTAGGGATGCGCATCTTGAATTTCTTAAAATAGGACAAAACAATTGACGTTTTGTGCGTCTCTCAAATAGAAGGGATCAGATGTCATTTAGAGGTAAGACAACACCTTCACTATGACTACAGCAAAAAAAAGATCTGTACAGACTGACTGGTACATCAGACAATGCTGGGAGGAGAACTGAGTTTGTCACGTATGTACACGGAAGTGATGATGACAGTGCAACTTTTTGACCTGACTACATGCTTTACAGCGATGCTGACCTAAATTTCAATGAAAAGTAAAGTGTACAGTTTGATGATAGTGGTTTTCAAAGAAAATGAGCAACAGGCTTTCAGACAGATCAAGCAGATTCAAACAGATCACAAGCTGTTAGAATTCAATAAGAAGTTTGTACTGTATATAATCTTACATTTGTACACAATTTCCCCACATATTGCACCGAATGAGACCCAGTATTTCAGGTATGTCATTTCATAAGCATAATTTTGAACCAACACTCCTTTGAAAGAAAGAAAGTTTGAAAGAAAAGGCAAGTATTTTATTATTGCTTGATGTTTATTGTAACTGAGTGAAACATGCCACAGAATCTGAATATTTGAACTGTATGGTTGTCATAGTAGAACCCAAAACAGAACTTATTTACGTTTGGAATAGATGTCAGAGAGATTAATCTATGGTTCAAGACTTGTTAGCATTTATAAATTAATTTTTGAGTCCTCTTTCCTTATTGAGGTAAGGTTGAAGATTAAAATGTAGGATCTGTAGCAAGGCCTGTGGTGGAGCTTAAAGGGGCTTATGAGGGTTTTTGATTGGAGGCTTTTTGGTAGGCTTTGGGCGCCTTGTTTTAGTTGACTTTGAGTGGTGGGTCTTGCAGTGGAGGTTACATTGGGGATTGTGGTGGGGGTTGGATTGGAGAATTTGGTGGAGGTCCCATTGGGGATTGTTGAGGTCCCATTGAGGATTATTGTGGAAGTTGGATTGGGGATTGTTGTTGAGGTCCCATTGGGAATTGTATTGGAGGTCCCATTGGGGGTTGTTGTTGAGGTTGCATTGGAGATTGTGAAAGTTCCATTGGGGTTTGTTGTGGAGTTTGCATTGGGGATTGGGCTGAAGTTTCCATTGGGGATTGTGGTGAAGTTCTCACTTGGGATTGTGGTGGAGGTTTCATTGGAGATTGATGTGGAGGTCGC